GTTTAGCGATTGGGCGCCCAGTTCCAGGGTGATTTCGGCCAACTTCTACATCTGCAATGGAGTGAACAGATGACAGCATCTGGAAAACTCTGCGGTCCTTAAATTTAACTGCCAGCAAAGTTCCATTGTTCATAACAAACTTGTCACCTTTTTTTTTAACTTGTGCCCTTTTAAATTCCTGGGGAATACCTTTCCTGTAGCGGGCTGTTCCACAGGCCCCAGTGTTCTGCCTATAGAGCACAGCAAATAAAGTAGGTGATGTGTAGTAGTTGTCAACATACAAACACCTACCCACATTCAAATAAGGTTGCATAAGCCTCATGACTAAGTCATATGTTTTGCCTTTAGCATTGGGTGGTTCTTGGTTTACACCAGTGTAAATTTCAAACCTACAACAATAGCCATTACTTGAGTCACACAACTGGTATGACTTTACACCATACTTATCTGGCTTGTCTGGATTGTACACTTTGAAGTGCACTTTTCCTCTGAATGGAATCATTCCCTCATCTATGCAAATATTTTTGCCTGGCTTCCAGACATCTGAAAAATTCCCAGTGACAACACTGTATATAGTGCCAAGCTTGTTTACTGGGTTATACCCTTCCTGTCCTCGAGGAATATAATTATCATTATTGCACAAGTGAAAAAATGTTAAAATGTTCTTAAATTTGTCTCTTGAGATAATTTGAGGGAAAAAGGGAGTAGATAAAACCTCGTCGGTGGACCAGTAATCCTGGATATTCTCTTGATTTACCAGGCCCATTGCAATTATCATGGCAAGATATTTTTGGAGACATGTGACCAGCCGTAACCGGGGTATTTTTACTGGGGAGGAAAGAGAAGGATCCTGGGAGTCAGGTTACATTAGACACTCAATGAATGTTTCTTCGATAGAATGCGGAAAAAAATTATCTTGACCAATTTGGGCTCGTGAAAGGATAATGGATCTTTCTCTTACTTGTGTTTTTCGAATGGTTTTATTCACGCTTTTATTCTGTTCCGGAATTCAGAAGTCAGGTAATGTACATCGAGTTACGATTATAGAGATTCTAGTTTTGTTCGCAATTTGAGAGAAAGCTATTAAAATAATTCCACATGTCTAAAAACATCCTTAAATATTCATGCACATGAAATTAGAAGTTATTGAAGTTACGTGTGATGTGTGGATGTTTAGTTTAATGTTTTCTGTTTTCCTTCTTCAGAGTCCGCATTCAGAATCAGCCAGAAACCTTCCAATCCTACTACTGTGGTGCTTGGAGTAAACAGCCACCGAGTCAGACTTGAGTGGCGGTATTCTAATGCACCGAGTCAGTATTTCGTTCAGTTTTTCAGAGAGATACCTGGTAAAAAAATGGAACAGTTATCATCAAGCATGGATGGGAATGCGTTCGACCCAAGGAACACAAAGGAATTCGATGCCTCGCTGGAAGCAACACTAACACTGAAGAACGTCGTGAAGAGAAATGAGGAATACACCTACTCTATCGTTTTGATGGATTCTAGTGCCAGAGTGGTAGAGAAACACGCAGTTTCTATTAATGTAGTCGGTAAGTGAGGCTGTTTCATGAGTTGCTTTGATACACTTTGTCTTATATCAACAGCCATCTCTCCGTTTGCGTGAAATGCGAGGTTTTTATTTGAAACTTAACAGGGTTTATATTTTCGGTAGAGAAAAGTCATAATGCACACAGAAACTCAAATTATCAATACACCGTCTTTCGATTAAGCACAGTTGCACTTTTAGCGCCTCGAGTTTCTTGTTACATTTTAACGGCCATCAGTAGAGCCATCCTTTTATGTAGTTCAAGCAATGCTGGAATTCTCATAAATTGATCGTTAAGTTACGTTTTAGTTTTCTGCTGCTTTAACTTGTTTCTCTGATAAAGGTTAATAATTCAGCTTTCACTTGGGTTATATATAAATGTGTTCTGTGTTATCAATATCACTCAGGCGCGCAAAAAATGTTCGTAGTGCAGCATTTTTTTTTTTACCAATAATTTGCTTTGCTCAAGCTTTAGTGCCAACCTACGTCCTATATTTAAACATTACTTACTTTTACTCAGCTAGATTAGCTTTTCAGTTATTCTGAGTAAATGTTACCTTTTTTGTATTAATATATAATGTGTGTAAATTAAGTTTAACTTCTCAATTTGGTAATAAAGCTTGTTGTTGTTGTTGTTGTTGTTGTTGTTGTTGTTGTTGTTGCTGATGCAGCAACACAGTTACTCTAGAAACTTACCCCTCATATATTCATAAATTATTTTGGTCTCGTTTTTGAGGTAATCAAGATTTGGAGATAATTTATGCTCCGGCCATATCTTGTCATTTTTCAGGGCTCTCTCTTTCTCTTTTGACTAAAGCTTTACCAGGAGGTTGTTATCTGCCTTTCTAGAGCAAAAAGTGGAAAAAAAAAACAAAAAAAACTCTCACATGCATTATATGGAAATTGACAGAAGACAAACATAGGGGCATTTTAGGAAGGACAGCTTTTTTTTTTACAATATTAAACAAAACATACAGGCACTTGCAAAAGATCTGTACATGAAGGTCAATTATATCCTTTACAAGAGAGGGACTTCTGGATTCTGTTGCTGTCAAGAAATAGTGTTCTAAGTGCTTTAAAGGTAAAACTAGCTATATATGTCCAGGAAGAAGTCAAAGATGTTGTTAAGAAAATGATCTCTTTTCAACACTTTTATGTCTTGAGAGAACAGCCAAAAAAACGTTCAAGCAATATTTTGATGAAACTGACAGTAAAAAATCAATAACAGTAGTTGATGTGGCTTTGTGTAAGAATAACCATTAATTGCCACCATCTATAAACACCAGCAACCTAAATTGATGTAGTGAGCCGTTCATCATCCATGGGGTCATTGCTATTCCAAGTGAAGGGTCAAGGTTTTTGTCATCCTGAGAGGAGAAAGAGAAAAATTCCATTCATGCTAAGGCTGTTGTATTCATTTGGGCCACGTTTAACTTTTGTAGGTGAGATTTAATGGTCTGCACAGATGAAGATAAAGGAAAAATATATTCTCACTCAGAAATCTTGATAAGAAATTGTATTTACTTTGGAATGATGTAGCAAAAGAAGTGCTTTACTTTATCTAAACTTATACCAGTTCCAGCCTCACAACAGGTTTCCATTACACTAATAAATGGATCATCTTGGGAGAAACAAGCACAAAAAAATACTAATGAGATGTCTCAGAAACTGGAAGAAACATCTGTGTTTGTTACTGGAGAATGATGATTTATTTCAGAATCAAACTTTGTATTTCAGGACGTGAAATTAATTTTTTTTTTCTGATAGCCACTTGGCTCCTAAATTTTTCAAAGTGGTAGCCAATTCAAGTAAAGTTGGTTACCATTTTTAAAGACAAACAAAACCTTTTTTTATGCTGTCAGCATTATAGATAGACCCTCCAAAAAATATTTTGAATGTGCTACAAAGTGGAATCTTGGATGGATGATATACAACGTTCCAGCTAAATCCAAGATGGCATCTAGTTATTGATAGCTTTCATGTAGCTGCACCCTCCCCCCCCCTCCAAAGGTGAAACGGAGCAGCCAGTGTGGGCTAAGTTGTCGATTGAGATGCTTGTGCTGCGTTTTGGAAACAAACTTAACAAGGAAGTTTGCTGTGGATTTATCTTTACAAATCTTTTTAATTCACTATATCTCTAGGTAAGATTATGATGAAGCATTCTACTCCCCAATGTGGCAACTAATTTTCAGAATTTCGTCGCCAAAGTGAAACTTTAGTGGCATTGGCACCTGTATTAGTTACAATTTGATGCCCAGTATTTAAATATTAGAGCATTTCATTTCACAATTAAAGAGTGGAAACATATAGCAGTAACAAGAGTCATGCAATGCATGTACAGTACATGTGTATACACCTGTTAGATTTTGTTTTCCCTGTGATACAATAGTTACCTAGCTAGTTTCTAGTCTTGAACATACCTTTCATGAGTATATTTAGTAAAAGGATGTGTCAAAATCTACCTGGAATGATCCACTGTTGATAACTGTCAACTTGAGTTGATGATACAAGTGTAATCACCACCAATCTTATGTGTCAAAATTGTAGAATTTATGAGATTTGACTAAGGTGTCCAATTACAAAACATCTCATAGCATTTTGATAACCGAGCAATAAACAAGTGACTTTATTGATACCATTGCAATATTGAATTTGGCTCATTTAAGACAAGCTAGTCATAAAAATGTGCATAGATTGATGCAGTTAGTAACACTTCAGACATGTGAGAACAGAAATATTTTAGAGAGGCTGACTTTTTTTAATATAGACATGAAGTTCTATAATAGGTTTTCACTGAGATTATATGTTTGCCAAATCAAACTTTTCCTTTTTTCCTTCTTTTACATCACTACTAAGAAACTCTGAACTTAACTGGAATCATTTGAGAGCTATTGATTTGATGACCCTTGATTAAATCAAACAGTCAAATAACTATCTGTTTGAAAGCCTCTGAGTTGGCCCTCACTTCCATAATTTTTATGATATTCCTTCCCCAGAATGAGTTTACCTTAACAACTGTTTTGCTTTGCAAAATCAATAGCAAGAGAACAAAAATAAATCGCAAACTGAATTCAGAATGGTGGTTATAGAGCTTCTGAACTTTTATTCTTTCATGACAAGGACATGGCAGGAAAAGCAATTGATATATGGTGGAGAGGGTGGCAGTCAATATTTTAGGATCACCCCCAGTCTTCAGGTTTCTCAGGAGAGTTTACTGGTGCCAATACACTCTTTTTGGTAAAGAGAAACACTGCAAGCTAGAGTAAAGTGTCTCACTCAAATAACTGATATAGTGATTCATTTAAAATATAGGGCTATCTTAGTTGTTATAATCTTTGCTTCCCTGTTGTTTCACAATATTATGTTAATATTTATAATTCCTTTGAGGAGCAATTGTAATTGTAATTATAATATTATATTATGTAATAACTGTGATGATATCGCAAAATCTAGATACAATATATTTATCTTTAATTGTTATTTCACAGTTCCTCCAGAAATTACTGACCAACCAGAGCCAAAGCCTTTACTTGCCATCGGAGAAAACCATACTTTGACCTGCAATGCATCTGGAGACCCTCTTCCCAATATTTCTTGGACAAAAGATGGCATTCCTGTGGATAGGTTTTATGTGACAGGTTATCAGCTTTATTTGTTCAACGTGAAGTTGGAGGATGTAGGATCGTACAGATGTACAGCTAGTAATGGATATGGAGATAATGTCACTAGTGTCAGTATTGTTGGCATAAGATGTAAGTAGTCTGTCCTGTTTATCTGATTACAGCAATACATTTTTAAATTGTTTATGGTTTGATTTTAGACAGACACAATGGTGTTATGATTCATGTTTAACTGCAAAATGACACAATGGCACTGAATTAGCAGAATATAGAGAAAAAGTAGTTACTAATTCTCTCCTGTTGAGATGTCAATACAGTATTTTTGTTAGATTGTCTTAGTGCCAAGCATAAAGGTGTCTGTCTCTGTGAAACAGTTTTGTTTTTTTCAGTATTTATGCACTTACTTTAACAGAGATCAAAGCTAGCTTTGTTATGTGGGCGGGAATTATTGGTCTACAAGCCTTCTTTTAATGGCTAATTGCATGGAACAATTTGATGGCCAAACGAGTAGGGTTCGAAAAATGTTCACTTCAGAACATTCTTCAACTCATAAAAAAGTCACCAGTTGAAGATATAAGATGGTTATAAAGAGAAAAAAACAAATAATTAAATGAATAAAAGTGGCAACTGGTATTGAAAGTCTTATTGCCAAAAGTCCATTTTCAGTGGCTTTGGCAACCAGCCAGTCACAATTTGAGATGCTACTTTCTTTTTGATTTGTAATATAATGATAAACTGATTTGCATGTTGTAGGTTACTGAGAGAGGCAAGTTTGCTGGGCACAATATTTTTCCTTCCCAGATAAAAATATAAGGTGGGATCCCACCTGGGATTATGGAACATCCCGCATGGGATCCCACATGGGATCCCACCTGGGATTATGGAACATCCCACATGGAATCCCACATGGGATCCCGCCTTGAATTCCTTATAGCATCCCAACTGGGAAAGCACATCCCGGGCAGGATTAAACCTAGAATCCCACCAATCCCTCTTAGGATCCTGCCTCAAATTTCAGATAGTTTCCCACCTGGGAAATCATATCTAGTTTAGACCCTGCATAAAATTTCAGATGGCTTCCCACTTTCAGAAAAATCCTTTGCGGGATCCTGTTTAACACTGGAGACCACAGATTTATGAAATGTACCAGATAGGATATCTTATCAATTCCTTTTGTAACCTAATCCTTCAAATTAAGAGGATAAAATTTTCTAGGTAAGCTATAGACCCCATCAATCCACTGAGGGTCCAAAACTTTCCAACAAGCTATAGAACATACTGACACCTCCAATGGGATCCCATTATCTTACCCAAGCTGTTGATCATAAATGTTTCAAACAGTACATGAATACACAGACTATATGTGATAAATATAGCAACACGTTCCAACACAGCTAACCATCTCGATTCCTCAGTCGGTCTTTCCACTGAACTATAGTAGTGGTGCCAATAGAGTCAAGTGCGTCTCATAACGGAGAAAACATGTAGGTTGTGTCGCCCCATTGCCTTGTCCCCCCAGGTTATGTCGCCCCAACCGAAGTTACGTCGCCCCAACATCGGAGTTGTGTCGCCCCAACATATTAGTTGTGTCGGCCCATCATCAAAATTATGTCGCCCCATCGAAGTAAAGTATTAACTTTAGCTGACTCGCTTGTCGTTCTTTCAAAATGCACCTGTGTACTGCGAAGATGATAAATCTACTTCGAACATTTCGGCTTACTTCAGGATTTTATTTCAACAGTTTGATGTAAAGCATGCTTAAAATGAAGTCATGTAACATTAACTAACTTTTCATTCGTGTTTTTTATATCAAAAGGTGCTTTAGTACAGGAAAGGGCAATCAAAAAACGTCACAAAACAAGCGTAAAGTTGGAGTGTCTCGACCGACCTCGACCGATAGCGATAGGATTATAGTACCCAGTTCCCCGCGCGCTGCTGATAACATTCTTTATTGATTACGTAGGTAATTGTATTCGTTTGTCCTTTATGGCTGACCCGGGAAATTCAGACAGAAAAGAACACAACATTTACTTCCAACATCACGTTTATTAGTAACTAAGGACTATTTTCCACTAACAACAGGTATTTATACTTAATGCATTTACTTTTGTTTAACACTTAAGAATAAAATATCTTAGATCCTAATTTAATTGTCTCTCTTTACGCCTTACTCGTAACAATAGTCAACTTCTTACAAATAACTACACTTAAAATTTGTTCACTAGCGAATTAAAATCTTTTGTTGAACACTTAGGAATAAGATATCTTTCATCGTAAGGTTTTTTTTCTCTCTTTACGCCTTGCTCGCAACAAAAGTCAAATTCTTACAAATAGCTAGACTTAAAATCTGTTCACTAGCGAATTAAAATATTTTGCTTAACACTTAGAATCAAATATCTCAGATCCTAATGTATTGTTTTCTCTTAACGCCTTACTCTCTGCAAAACTCAAATTCTTACAATTAGCTAAATCTTTGATCCTAATCTTAACGCCTTACTTACAAAGCAAAACTCGAACAATGACGAATTCTATCACTTTCTATAACTAACTTAACGCATTGTTTTAAGCGCCTCTCGGCCCAACAAGTAATGAACAAGCCTTGAGAAGTTGTCTCGCCGTCTTGTCGCCCTCTTCATATTGTCCCCACAGTGAAAATACCTTAGCCTGGATTTGACGATATCTGCGCCGCTGAACTCGTCGAAGTTTCTTTTCTGAGACCATACGCACATTCAGGGAAGTTAGTTTGGCTTCTTTGTAGAGCAGGTCGATAAGTAAGTACATGGGTAGCTGTCGAAGTACCTTCCATACTGCACACTCGAAGTCTAGCGTGACTTGTCGTAGCGCTGGGGATGGTAGCAGCTCTCGGAAAACAGCTCTGTAATCACGCTTCCGTTTGCCCGACATAAGGACAAACACCAACGGCACCTACTTGACGTAGTCATCTGCCTTTACGAAGGCGTTGACTGTTAACAGCTGGGTAAACGGCTGACGGCACAGCTTAAAGGTCGCATCCACGTACCAGCTTTTTGCTCTGTTGAGTAGGTCGAGTTGGTGTCGTGTCACGAAAATCAAATGACGGCGTCCACCAACCTAGTAAGAAAACGAATGCCATAATTAACCTACTGTAAACTGCCGTATAATGATTACAACACTGCTCCAGTCCGTTTAAAAGATTTTGTGTTGTGAAACTGTAAAAACAATAGAAAACGGGTGGTTTTCGAAATAATAACTAGGTTAATCTATTCAGCAAACGCATGCCATAATTAAATTACTGTAAGCTGCTGAATAATGATCACAATACTGTTCCAGTCCGTTTGAAAGATTTGGTGTGGTGATGTTAAGTTAAAATCAATTACTAACTGTTTCTCGAATAACCTTTTAGTTTGTTGAATAACTTATTTAGTTTTGTATGTGCTAATATATAGTGTTAACATTCATTTTACTTACTCTAACATCATTCCTGAAGAAGTTGTCGGGGACGTGCGCCAGTTCCAACTCGAACTCAAGGTCACGCGGTTCTGTGGGGCGGAGTTTCTGACGAAGGCAGTTCGCGTTTCTGGCCAGATGCGCTGGTTTCGATAGACCCGGACATGGAACATCGGGAAGCTCTTCCAGTAGGACCTGGTTTACTATGGCGGATGCGGGTTTAAAGTACTCGACCTCTGCCTCCTCACGTACGCGGGACACAATCTTCGCTGCAACCTCAGCGTCAACCTGCCCGTTGTGGTTGTGCTGCTGTCCGCCAGCGATGAATTGGCCACTACGTTTAATAACAGTTGCTCTACAGGGGTTGATCTAATAAAACAAAAAAGAGATATAGAATCAATTAGATGGCAATTCAACAGAAACGTTATTCGTTTTCTGTTCGTTTTAAGAAAAAAAGATATTTACCTTCGGCCGCACTGTGCACTGCCAATGCGTAGCGCCAACACACTGCCTCTTAACGTTGTATGTGTAGCCGTCGTTGTCGACCAGCTTTCGGTTCCTCTTCAACGTGGCATCGTCAACGATTGTGAATGTAAGCTGATGCGGCTGCTGGACAATCTCGGGAGGGTCTGGGTCATCAAGCGATAGCTCTACCGCTACGGGGGACGCTGCAGTCGGTAACCCTGCAGAGGCAGAGATGTAGGTGAAGGTGCTGTGGGTGACACTGACGTAGGTGATGCTGTTGCTGGTGCTGGTGATGGCGGAGGTGAGTCGGGGACTGCAACTGAGTCGTACTCTGGCTCAGATGTCAACTCGGCGCATGCAGCACACAGCCAGTCGATTTCAACGCCGTTAATCGATCGATGAATAGATTACAAACTTACTTCATAAGCGAAGTTACTTTTTACAAGCCGCTCGCTCAAGTTACATCGAGTTACATCGTAATAATCTTACAAACTTTTCCTTCGATCGATCGATAAATCTTACAGCAGTGTTATGTTTATGTTATAAGTCGATCGTTCGCGTAAATCGATCGGAGAATCTTACAAACTTTTACTTGATAAGCGAAGTTACGCGTTTGGGCGACGCAACTTTGATGTTGGGGCGACACAACTACGATGTTGGGGCGACACAACTCCGATGTTGGGGCGACGTTACTTCAGTTCGGGCGACGTAACCTGGGGCGACAAGGCAATGGGGCGACACAACCTGACACCAACATTTGCACGAGAGACAGAAGCAACTACATGCGATTACAGAGGTGCACTGGAATTCTCGTCTACAAATGGTTATGCACAGTCCGAAGCGTTCCCGAGCTTGGAAAGGGGGTGGAGAGAACGAAGATACAAGGTTGTCATTTTATATTACAAGTAAAATTTTAACAGGAACAATTTTGTTTATCGCTGACACAGAGAAGAACCACAGAGAAGAACAACAAGTAGACTTTAGAGCTGTAATTATTGAACTGTGACTTACACTTTTCATTTGAAAGTAGGACTTGCACCAAAAATATAAAGTAATATTTTTTAGGAGGTCCAGTCATTGGGACATTTAAGAAATTAAGTTACGAAAAGAAACTCGGTTTGTACTTCTCACTACTAAGAGTCTTGTTTTAAAAATATTTTCAGATCAGAGTTTCAAATAAAGCAAATTGAAGAAGTCATTTAAAAGGTGTATTTTCTCGAAGGGAACAGTGACCACATCTGTCTTGTCCGCATGCCAAATATTTGCGGAGTGTATTGATTATCCATAAGTATTGGAACTCTCACAAAAATGTTTTGTGAGAATAAAAACAGCAAAACAATATTTTCGTAGGTGGGATATGTAAATCCTGACTAGGATCCCAGGTAGAGTGCATAAGTCCCGCCTAAACTCCCGGGTGGGATGCAGAAATCCCACCTAAGATCCCGAGTGGGATGCAGGAATCCCGCATTAAATGCGGGATCCCAGGTGGGATCAAATTTTCATCCCAGGTGGGAAAGGTGGGATCCCGCCATTCCCACCTGGGATCCTGGGTGGGGTTGCCGGGATCCCGCCTACATCCCGCATGACATTTTAGCTGGGTTACTCCTGCCTTTGCATGAAGCCAATGTTAATTAAGTTGCAGTTTAAACCCATCTCAAAGGGCGAACTGAAAATCCAATTGTTTTCTATATATGACTAACCTTGAGGTCAAAGCGTGAAGTTCAGTGAAAAACAGCAATTCCACCTGCTTTCAAAAAATGCAATAGTTTTTTTTTGGCATGAAGATTCTTTATTGCCAGGGTGACCATGCAATATGTTCAATATCCGCAATGGTCAATAATGTTTGACTAATAATATTGTTTAATGCATGCTAATTTTTGTTCATCACACTTTAGGTAATGATTGTTTAATTAGGAGCGTTGGAATAACATTACAGAGTGAAGTTTGGACTTCAGCCTTTAATAACAGAGAGTCAATTGAGTTCAAAACATTGGAGTCAAAGTTTTTATCAGAAGTAAGTATCCTAGTGTGGCATTTATTAAGGACATTTGGTAACCATATCAGGAGGAGAAACCCCCCCTATATCTATCTGTTCACAATAGAGTGGTGATTAGCAAATTATTGATGTTTGAGTATAAAAAGGTCTTGTTTTATTCCTCTCTTCCAGTACTGGCTGACTTATTAGCATCCTTTTTATCCATTTAAGATGTCCGCAATAATCTCTGTAGATTCTTTTCATAGTTCTGCTCTTCATTCAGCATTCAGTAAAGAGTTTTCCATGACTATGAGTTACACGGATGTTTGAGTTACAACTGAGGAAAACAGACTTTTGAGTTGTAATAAATTACCCAACAAACCTGTGGGAACTAGTAAACTTGATGCTCTTCTTTTAAGGCAAAGGCAGCTAACTTAAAACTAAATTTAGACACTTGGATTTCAATTTTTTGGTTTCTTACGTTTGATAGTTAAGTAAAATGTGAGAAGAGATACTGTTTTCAACTGCCACAATAGGATACCTGTACACTTTCATTACTTCCAAAGCAGGGTCACATGGAATGAATCTTTGAGTTTTTTGATTTGATTTTTCTCTTGTCCTCTATTCATGTCTGATGACATTCATAGATCAGATCCCAATAGCCTTGAATTTATTATAGATTAAAGGAGTAGGTTTACATTAGAAATTTGTAAATTTTACTCATATAATTGGAGAAGTGCCGTGAGCCTAAAACTATATACTTGTATGAGCAGATGAGATCAAGGCTTTCTCGCTCTGCGTGAACATTTGAATTGTACATTTAAGCATTTTTAGCTTGTAAAATGACTGTCGTTCTTATAATTGTTTAAGATTTCTTCTGTTTACACAAAAAATCCTGGAAAACAACTGTACACAGTGGGTCTTGTTGATTTCAGGTAAGTGTCAAGATTCAAAAGAGTGCCCAGTATAGGCATATGTGAAGTAATATTTTTAGAAAAGGGAAGTGGCCCTCTGCTATTATTTCAGGATTTAGTTACAGTATAAAGTTGATCGACATATGTTCAAACATTTTTAGGTTATATCCATCATGTTTAGTTTTTGGAAAATTAATTTTCAGTAGAATGACATTAATGGCCAAGATAAATAAGTATTAACCATTTGCTATTATGCAAAAAAACTTTTAATGGTGAGTTTTTTCCTGGTTATAGATCTGGTAGTGTTGTTGCTGAAGTAGAGCTCAAGTTTGAAAAATCTGTTCTTGATCCTTTGAAACCACTGGAAGATGAAATCAAAGATGGAAGTCTTGGGTCATTCACAGTGAGCCGTGAACTTGATTTGAATCCAAGTAAGGCCTGTGCTACTTGACAACTAGATTCTATTTTGTCGTTGTGGGAAATTACAAACTTACTTCATAACCCTGTACTGTTTGTAGATGAGCTATTGTCAAAACTAGGGAGGGTTTTCAAGCTAAATACGTTACACACATTCAAGTGTATATAGAATGTTTTATTATATTATTCGCATGGATGCATATATTTTCTTCGAGTGTTGAGAATTTTTTTTCGCATGCTCGGCTTGCTCGCTTGTGAGAGACGTCATTAAGGGTATGGTGAGGCCTTAAACTAGTTTCCTTTTCCCTGTTCTTCTCCAACAGGCTTCACTTATTTCAAGGATATCTATGTTGTAGTTTTCAGCCTCTTGCCCATCCCTCCTCTGTCCAGGCTTGGACCGGCATAGGCCGAGTTAATGTACAGTAGTTATCAGTGACCCACATTTATGTCCGAGTGAAATTCACTTACATAGTCACTGAGGTTACAGAAGAACTACTTTGACTTCTGAAACAATACATTTGTCAAGGTGTGGTGCGAACACTATTCTTACAAAGAAAAATTGAGTTCAATCTTGCTAATGTTCTTAGAAAAAAATGTGGAAAAGTTATCATTATTATTTCCATGACGAAATTGGTAACCTCTCATGTGACAATATCATTGATACTTTTACTGTAAGCGTTGAAGATATCTTGTATTTGCTACAAGAGAAATTCTAAAATTTCATCAATATCTCTAAGATAAATAATTATTTTTCATGTGGTTGCTTTCTCTCTAAAATGCCAATTTGTGTATATTCAATACTTTTCCCTTATCTACCCGCGTAAAGAGAGTAGCGTAAAGATGCGAGACAAAACTTTTTATTCTGTTTTCTAAGCTGCAAGTGCCTTAAGCAACTGTTTTTGCCTTTGCGGAAATTTTTTTTTTATTTCAAGAAATTATAATCTCGTAGTTCAATATTTTATTGGGTTTCATAAAAATTTGTCTAATCATTGCTTATTCTTTTGCAGCTTCGGTTCCCTTTACAAACTTTACAGCCACAGGTGAGAGACAAAATCCCATCTATTTTCTAATCAATGAACTCAGTGATTATAACCGTCGATTTTCTTTTTTTCTTGACATTTTTCCAAAAGGGTCTGCAAATAATTCTGTTCTTTATTGTCGAATTATTTTTTGGTGTTATTTTCACCCACTTCGCATAAATGTAAATTTTATCTTTCATTTGTAATAATATCTATCGATGTTTGGCTTTGCTACTCAAGAGAAACATTATCAACAAATCGAATCCATAAATACGCTTGTGACGTCTTGCTTACCATGTAGATATTAGTAACTTAAATATTTATCAGACTGAATGCAGAGATCACTTACACGTTAGCTGAGGTTGCAGAATAGCTACTTCAACTTACGACATAAAACATATTAAAACAAGTATTCGCCCAAGAGAACTTCTGGTATTTCTATTTATTTAACATGCCAATACTTGTTTAGGCACATGTATATGTATCCTTAATATAGTGTGCTGCAAATGTACATGAAAAACTCGTTTATTGTTTTCTGTTTTCTAAGTTAAACTACCTTTACGAAAATTGTTTACTTTATGCTGAAGATATAATTATTACAAGAAATACTAATCTCGTAATTTAATAATACTTTATCCTTTGTGCCTTGCAAATATGTTTAGTGATTGCATAGTTTTTTTCCAGCTGGCACCTTCACAAACGTTACGTCAACAGGTGAGAGAAAACTTTTTATTTTGAAATTAACTAACTTTTAAACCGTTAGAAATGGCGTGCTTACAACAGAAATTATGGTATTCATCAATATCTTTATTATAAATCGCTATTTCTCATGCGCGTAACCTTTATTTTGACGTACCAATACTTGCCTAAATACATGTATATTCAATAAGTGTTTCCATCTGTACCCTTAACAAAGGGCACTGTGAAAGTGCCAGACAAACTCGTGTCTTTTGTCCTCTTTTCTCAGATGAAGCTACCCTCACCACAGCTGTTTGCTTCTTGCCAAAGCTATGGTCTCTTAAAGAACTTCTTATCTCGTGATTTAATTTGTTGTTTCCTTTGTACTATGCAAATATCTCTGATGATTGCTTTCTCTTTTCCATCCCTTTGTAAGCATTACGGTCACAGGAGAGAAGCAATTCAAATCAATTAAAATTTTAGTTGTAAAAATCGTCGTTTTTCAATTTTACTTGAAACATTGTCGCGCTTTGTGTTCAGCAGATAGCTTCCATTATTGGATCATGCCTCTACCGGTTTCCAACTCAAGATAAAAGAGGCTATTCATATTAAAAAAACACAACCATCCTTGAATCAACAATTACACCATATAAATCTCAAACTATCCTTCATGCTTTACCTCTTTACCGTCACCATTTATCATAATTAGCATTGTTCTACTTACTACATAAATTCAACTCCAACGCTTTGTACATTAATTAACTGAAGATGATAGAAGTTTCTGTCGAAACATGTATTACAGACTTAAAAGTTTTGTCGCTTTCTTTAAATACTTGAAGCAACTTTTCACGAAAGCGTTTGTTAATAATCTCATCTTTTTTGTGTTGTTTAATTAATTTTTAATGCCTAAACATTTATTATTCCTTTCCAGCTGTTCCCTTAACAAGCAGTGCGGCATCAGGTGAGAGGGAATTTCCTTTACTTTCAAAGTCTCTAACTTTGCAATTGTACCCGAAACAAGATTTTCCAAAGGACTTGTGATATGAGTTTTGCTCTCAATTGGTCCACCCTACCTTTTACAAAAACCTGCGACACGCGCAGCGAAGTAACGGAAAAGTTGATGATTATTATTTTTCTCAGTATCAAAGTATGGTATGGTTTGAAGGCAACAGTCTATGACCAGTGTTTTTGCGAGCGATCTAAGAAAATTGGGTCTGACAAAGGAGAATATTTATCCACGAGTGTCATGACAATTAGAGTTTTTTCTTCGCCATTAAGAGTGGAAAGAAGTGAACAGAAGTGGTCAAGTTTGGCCAAAAAATACTTTTCTAGTGATCAAGAGATTCTCTTGGGTGAGATTAAAAATTCGCTGCGGTCCAAGATAAAGTTGAAATTAACTCAAAAGACCAATCTTTGAAAAAAAAAAAAAAAGACATATTATAACAAAAAGATTCTGGGTTACTCCATCACCCTTCTGAATGTACGTAGGATAAGGGCCTCTATAAAGCGTTGTATTATTGTGGCCATGTAATGGTTAGTATGGCTAGCTATGAATGTTTGCACACGTGTTGGTTTTTCTCAAGGTGCAGATCAAAGTGACGATCGGAAAAAGCAAACTATGCTTCACGCCATTTACTCGATAACAATATTTCTACTTTTGGTGATTATCATTGTGTTAGTGCTTGTCGTTTGGAGAGGGAAGAATAGGCAAGGTGAGATACCTGATCTAATTTTCTCTTTTACTTCTGCCGTAATCCCTATTTGTCAGTATGAAAGCCAATCGTAAGAAAGTGTTGGAAAATTATTCAAAAATTAAAGTTGAAAGGGGAGTCCACCCTGCTTTCTGGTTTCCGACCAGTGGCAAAATCTGCTCTGAAGATTACGATAAAAAATATTTTGGGTCGCGCTCTCGGCATTTCTGCAAATTGCGTCACTGTGGAAGGAATAAAGACTTTCAATACAGCAGTCAAACACTGTGCATCCGCAAGAGTCTGAAAATGCTACGGTGGACGTCCAAACGCGTGTCTATCGTAAAGTGAGGAAGAAAAGGTTAAATTTGTAACTCAATACGTAAAACAAGTGAAAAAAGGATTTGGAGAAAGTTCTAATCTTGTTATCTTGTTCTTGCTTCATTGTGAAAAATCCCAACTGTTTTGAGCGCGGACGCTTCGTTTTGGGGCGGGAGGCATAGGACAGAACCTCTCTCTACCTTTGCAGTTCTTCCTAGTCTACTGTCCGCGATAAACGTAGGTCGTTTATCGTCGCGAATATCTTGTGTGGTTCTGTTTCTTCCTTTTTTCACTCATTTCCCCGGTGTTTACCAGTACATCGTGAACACGACAAACAACAACTACTGCAGCACGGCCGAGCTTTTGGGCGAATTCATCACTCCACCGTGCTAAGTGTTTAAAAAGTGTGCGAGTGTGAACCAGCTCAAAGTGCTGGAGAAAGTCTGGAAACACAACGCATTTAAGTCTTGGCTTAAGGAATTTCGAAATTTCCTTGTAAACTGCATAAATATACGTCGCACTCGATATAAAAGCCGTATTGATAGCCACTGTTTGACCGCAGTGATCAGATATTTTCGGTTTCCACCTTGAGAGAAATTTTTTCTTTTCTTTTTTTTTTTTGAGACTTTCAGCCTAGGAGAGTGACGCTGCCGTTGATCAACCATGATTCTTAAAAGCTAGGCTATTTTAAAGTTACCTTTTTTGGTAGAATAAACCTGCAATGTTAGCTACGGAAACCATGTAGAACCACATCAAAGAGCTTCCTCCGAATGGTTCCGACAAATTTCATTGAAGCAATTTTTTTATCTTAAGTTTCGTTTCTTTCCACGTTGTTTTGCCTTTTAGATCAATTTTTTCGTTGGCAGTAAAATAATACAGTCAACTCTCCGTTAACGGACACTCGTTTTGGATAAATTTTGAACACTGTACATTTGTTTCGTAGGTCCTTCGACTGAAAATGCGAGGTAGGTACAGGTAGTATTCTGTTTGTATCATGGTGTTTGTATTTTCGAGATACAGTCATATATTTGAAACATTTTACTGAGCATGCTTCCTGACGGAGAGAGCTCATTAGATAATTTTAAACAGCGCGGAAGGTTGGATTTGAGTAAAAAAGTTAACGTTTTTGCGCAGAAATTTGAAATTGAATTGGTTTATTGTTTGTTGTGAACAAGAAGTAGAGAACAATACATGGTTGCTTGTAGATATGGAATTTCTCTTCTCGTGTTCAACTCGACATCTCACTCGTTCGCTGCACTCACTCGTGAGTTATCGAGTTAAACACTCGAAGAGAAATTCCATATCTATACGCGCCCATGCCGACTTCATTAATGAATGAAAATAAATGAATCGACAATCCCCAAATAACAATCGTAGAGTGCGTTGGCGCTAACTCTTAAGATGGAAAAATGCGTCGAATTAAGATCACGAAAACAACAACAGTCGTAATTTCCAATTTACAAAATTCTCATTCATTGACTTTGTTCTTACCGACAGAAGAAGTCTTTCATGTAAACGGCCAAAATCGGCCAGTGGCAAATCTTCCATTTGTCGATTTTCATTCTCAGCCGAGAGAAATGCCAACACCAAAGCCACCGAATACGTAATTTTCGGTTTTTCTTTTAGTATATTGGTTTTTTTCTCCTTCTAGAAGTTTGAACCTCATTGTCTGTCAGCGATACGGATTTTTTAATAAACAACTTGTATTGAGAATCGTGAAGGCTTTGCCTTTCATTCATCAACCTGACCGAGTGACGCCAAAGGCAAGTGACGAGTCAGCAGCTGATTGGCTATATCAACACGTGAAAAAATACGATATTTTTTCACGTGTGTTGTTTCGGCTTTTCTCAGGGCCGGAAATCCCTCTATAACACCGCAGTTTATGTGATAAATCAGATTCTGCCATAAAGTTTTCAGGGAGCATGTGCAATATTTTCAGTATTTGAAAATGTATACTCTTAAATAAGGTGTGTTTCAATAGCACACCTTGTGAGTTCTCTAACACATCAAGGTGTGATGTGGTGACACACCTCTTCACTGTTTTATTTCACGGTTCAAGAAAACACACCAATGTGTGTAAAGAAACACAGGCGGTGTGTAACAATTACGCACCTTGAGATCAGTTTTGCAACACACCATAAATTAACGAGATGCAAATGTTCTTCAGTTTGAGAAATCTGCCAGAGCCATCATAACACAAAAAAAGGTGCGTTGCAGTAACATCTTCTGTTTGATGCGAAGCTCTTCTTTAGGATATGTTTTTACAGTGGAAATCGCTCACTCGACTTCTGTCAGGTTGAACTTCCTGGCTAACTCGAATTGAAAGTAATTTACATCGAGGTACATTTTTCACTTAGTTACTATCGATGGACTTGATTGCCTTGTTATCTCGCTTCGCGTTGTTTTCATTACGGCTAAAATTAATTTTTCAAGTTCGTTTGGGTTTTTTGGCCCTTTATTTTGATTTGCGCTGGGTATTATTATTTCTTCTAAGAAAAAAACGACTCCGCATCAAGTTCTTCCACTATGCTGCCCATAGTTATATACACTATGTTCAATCTTTTTTTTTTTTTTTTCAGTTGCAGTTATCATCAGGTAAATGCTATGGATAATCAGGTAAATATGGAGAATACTCGATGGAAAGAGATGAAGTCTTCAAGGGACTTGTTGTTATTAGACTTCGTGATCACTTGTTGTCAAGTGTTTCGTTACAATCACCGCTGCATTTGGTTTTGGTTATTTGTTTTCACTTCGCTTTTAGGATCAAGGAAACCCAGTTCAAGCCAGTGAAGCATACGTGAATATCTCCGGAAACGAGGAAACGTTAGTTATTCAATCGTCGCCATCAAGAAACGCAGTACCAAGCAGAAGACATCAAATGAACTCTGAGTATATGTCCATTAAGAGAATAACAACAAAGTTCAAGAAATGGGAAGTAAAACGGGAAAATGTTCAAATCTCGAGAGTTATTGGAAAGGGTGCTTTCTGTCAGGTTGCTAAGGCAACCGTATCAGATATTAATGGAATAAAGGGAGCAACAACTGTGGCAGTTAAGATGCTGAAAGGTATGTTGCGGAGACAAGTAGTCAGAGCCTATTTTTTAAATCGTGATTACTGGACAGATTATCAATAAATCAATAATTTTACTAGGAAAAAAGCGAACTTGGCCAAACATACAAGGCAAAGTGGCTCTTTCTTATATTGGAATAGTTTGTTGAGTACTTCAAGAGTGGTATTCCCCGTTCGTATGAGAACATTTTGTTTGAGCACATAGTATTCTATGCAACTACAGCAAGTCTCAAACGTGAAAATGAATCAGTAGAAGAGACGTCATCTGGCTTAACTTTTATACACCACCTCACATGCTTATGTGTGATGGCAATGTTTTTAATTTTCTATATTTTTGGTAGAAAATGCCCCGGATAATGACAGGAAAGATCTGCTGTCAGAGCTGGATTTGATGAAGAAACTAAGGCCTCATCCTCATGTCATTAAACTGATGGGATGCGTCACTAAAACTGGTAAAATAGGAAGGATATTGGTAATACTTCATCGTTTATTCAGTCAAATCTGAATTTTAATTAAGTTTCATGTTAAAACAAAGGGTTGTTTTGCAGATCCTTTGCTTGTTCTCATTGAATACATACCTTACGGTGATCTGTTGGGTTACCTAAGAAAGAGTCGCGGCCTAAATGACACATACTTTAAAGATCCGGATGTTAAACCTGAGACCAACCTGACTTCAGAACAACTGATGCAATTTTCCCTGCAGATTGCTGATGGAATGAACTTCCTTTCTGCTAACAAGGTATTCACGAAACGTGTGTCAGTGTAGCACCTTGTTTTCCATTCTGATAAAGTGTTAGGTCACAGCAAAAAGTTGCTCGGAAAGGTGGTTGGAAAGGTAGAGAGTGACCTCTCCGATGCTAATGAATCACAATCTCTCGGATTATGGCGAAATTACCTGGTTTATCACGTTTTAGAGCTGATTTATTGTGCACAATAATAACCCAGACGGGCATGTACATATTTCACTCCCCACTCCCCACTCCCCACTCCCCCCTCCCCCAGTCCAAAAAAAGGGAAAAACAACTTTTAAAGAAAATGTTATTCCTTTCGTCGTAAGAGTGAGACTGAGAATGAAATCCAATTCCTCTACACCATTGCATCTAATGTATGGAGTTAGATCGGAGCTGTATAGTTCGGATATCCTTTCCTCTGAACCCCTTCGTCATTTCGTCCGAAGTTTCTGTTTCACGTGCTATCTTCGTGGCGTGTTTAACGTCGCTTCTTGAGTCGCTCTACATTTCGTGGCGTCGAAAAGTAATTCGTATCGTAGCAGTCCCTGCTTGTAACCAGTGGTAAGCACGTTTTTAATCGTCATGTTGTGTATCGTCTCTTTCTGTGAAAATGTCCTTCAGCACGCTGAGTTCTTCAACTAACTTCGATTCTTTTTTTAAGAATGCCATTTCTAATGATACTCGAACGCTGGAAAGTGTGCTGTCTCGGTAACGACAGCCATGAAATTGATTATGCTTTGTACCAGGTGGATCATTTTCTAACGTTGTGCATTCAATGTTAAATCGTTTGGAAAGGTACTTACGTTGCTTGCATGATGTATTTTTGCCTTGAATATACTTACAACTATCCTTGTTTCAAGATGGCTTTGACAACCTTCCTCTCAGATTTGAATCAAAACTTGACACCTGTTGAGAGGGGACAATGAAGTTCCAGAAATCCCATGCCCCTTGTTTAGAGAGTCGTTCAATCTTTTTTTAATCTCTAGTTAGCCCACTTGATCAATCTGATTTTCATGGAACAGACCTTTACATCAAAGTTGTAGAGATTATCCATGGCTTGGTTTTACAAGATCGAGTAAAATAACAGAATTTCTGCTCGCTGACAAGAGTTCGAACTGTAAGAGTTATTAAGCTAGAAAACAGAAAACATTTTGGAGATAAAATAATGCAAGCAACTAATTAAGCTATGTGTATTCACTAGTGAGGATAAAAGGTGGAATGAATATATGAAATTGTAAAATTTATAACTAGTATAGTATCACAACCTAGCTGAACAGAACGAAATAAAAGTAACAATGTAACTAGTTTCATTAATAGTTAACTGTTCTAGAATTCTCCACAATGCATGCTTGGTGGGGTCCAAAATCTACATGGCCTCTGAAACTGGTTTAATTTCAACAATCAGGCCGATGAATATATATATATTTTTTCATCGTATGTGAGGAGAGATCGTTGTGGTGGTCTCTAAATATTAATTTCATAACTTGAAAAATACAGCAGTGATGTGTACCTCCTATTCACAGGTCAAGAACACGCAAAATTTGAACAACAAACAAGGCAGTTTTAAAGCCTTCTGTAACATTAATATGTTGTTTTGAATACCTCCATCTGTTGTATCCAATGAAACAAAGCCTAGGCATTACCAAACCAAAACACTCCTTTACCATTAAGATACGAGCCTCGGTCATTGATGCAAGGGAGTTGATATGATGAGGTAAACCCAAATGCAAGTCACAAGTTAAAGCGCTTGGCCGACATCTGCAGTTTTTTGGATATCCAAAAACAAAGTGGAAGCCAAGGGCTGGCTTTTGCTGACAACCGGTGATGAATTTTAAGATATCCTTAATGGAAAGTTAGAAGTTGACATAAAGGAATTTCTGAATATACAGTATGAACTGTACATTAAGATTTTCTTAAGTTGAGTTGCGTTACACTGCAATTGAAAAAAAGCCTTATGCTCAAGCCAGAAGTTGTTTTTAGAATCATTTAGTTGATTCACACAAATACTCAAAAGAGGAAAGCAAAAAGGCATTCTTCAATTAACGTTAGCTGAATGAGAACTCAGAGTGCTGAATGAAATTTTCCCAGAAAGAGACGATATATAACGCACGATTAAAAACGTGCTTACCGTTGACTGTTACGGCACGCATTACGTTTGACGACACGAAATGTGGAGTGACTTAAGAAGTGACGTTAGACACGCCATGAAGATAGCACGTGAAACAGAAAATTCTTCCGACGATATGAAGAGGGGTTTGGAGGACAGGAAATGAGAAATATATAGCTCCACGTAGTATGACTCGACGATACGAACAAAGGATACCAAATTTTGACCTCGATCTGACTCCACGCTGGCAAACTACCGACCCATAGAGAGCTCTTTGGTGAACAAGTTAAGTTCATTTATGACAGCGTTCCGCATACTATTAGGATCAGTCATGTTAAAAGTGTCGTGTGAAAGTAAATTTAATGGGAAAGATGGTAAATTTCCAGCTCTACCGTCGACTAGAGAAAGTCTTTGGTTTTTGACAATTGGATGACCGAACTCAGAACGTACCGATTTTCCTGTTCTGAGTGGTTCCATTTTTTATATTACTTTACATCCATGTGTCAGATCATCCACCGTGACTTAGCGGCCAGAAATGTTCTTGTTGGTGAAGGAGAGAAGTGTAAGGTGACAGACTTTGGAATGGCGAGGAATGTTAACCAGGATGATATCTACAACAAAACAAGTCGGGTAGGAAACTGAGTTATTCCCTTTTCTCTTTTAACTCGCCTCCATTTTGAAGAGTGTTTTTCGCTCTTACATTAATCTGTACTTAGGATGTCGTACTTTGCAAAGTTCACCAATTCTTGTCTGAATGAAGGAAGAAATCGATGTGAATTTAATATTTCCGTTGCGTAATTTGAACAGGGCCGTCTGCCAGTAAAATGGACCGCTTATGAGGGTTTAGTTTATGGAAAATACACAACACAAAGTGATGTGTAAGTATTCCCCCCTTTAAGATACTCTAAACATAGCCATCTGGGTATGACTCAACTCCAGGTCCGGATTTTGGTCATTCTTATTTCTAAGAAGTCCTACAATGCACGCAGATTCAAATATCTTTTTTATTTTCACTTCCACTTTCATTTTGTCACAAAGATTTCGCTAAGGTGAAGTTAAGATTAGCACTTAGGTTTGACTCGAGCAAACGTCCACCACAAACGGGATCACAAAGATTTTATGCTGTATTCCGAAAGGAAATGAGCTCAAAGTTACTGGTATCCCTTTAACCATCGCAAGCATACCTCTTACTAGCTTAGTTCTTCTTCCTGTTTAGCTTCCCAGATAATGCGTTTTTTGGTCGTCATTTGAATCTCCTGCTTTTTAAGAAATGATGATCAGCAGGGAGCTTGAATTTTCTGCGTAGTAACAAAAAGCTATACTTTGCTGGAACTCAAGTTGATAGCCAAGCTGGTTGCTCATTCTTGAACCATGTTTAAACAATAATGTATAAAGACTTAACCTCTTTCTTATATTGATTTATTCATATTTATTTTTAAAGACTTCAGGCTACGTGCATAATCCCATCATAGATCTTGGCCGATGATGTCGGGGCCACTGATTAAAATAAATCTATTTTCCAAGCAGCGAGAAAGTTAAAATCGCGAATTATCATGTTTTACTTGACTCAGATTGCTTCGCTGCCTCATGCACTTCATTGGTTTTTCCTTTTCTGTTATTTGCAGGTGGAGTTTCGGTGTTGTTCTGTACGAAATATTTACTGTAGGTACGTCTGAACAGTTTTAATAGTTAAAACAAAGCACTATTTTGTATGGACTGGGGAAGAAGGGACTGAATTGCCGCAGTTTTTAAGTAAGTTTTGACGAGGATGATATAGTGAGGTTTGTGCTAAGACAATGAGTCCTGGAATATCAAGAAAGTTACGTGTGTGAATATTATTCTTGCCTCATTACTTCAGTTTAAGCGTTCATTTTATGTCCATAGGTGGATCTCCTTACCCCGCGATTAACGCTCGCGAAATTGCAGAGAAACTTCAGCAAGGATACAGAATGCCAAAACCTAAACATGTTGATGAACAGCTGTAAGTGTTCTGCTGCTGTTGTTTTTTAATCCTTGTTACCACAAATAGCAATAAGAGGTATAAGTGTTTAAAGTCCTGTTATTAATTTATGACCGCGTTCAGCTGAATCAGCATGTTTTGGTATGACTTATGCCATTATCCGTACCATTAAAGTAAGTTAACCGGAAACGAGACATGCGCGGGCGCAAATATAACATTTGGAAGTTTTGGTGTTTGATGGTTTGGTATTTAGGTTTGGTACTGTAATTTCTAACATTGTCATTTGAATGAAATTGATATCGTAATTTTTAATGTAACTTGTGAAAACTAAGTAAACGGATATGACACAATGGACTAATGATGGCACGAGTCACGCCGAAACATTCTTCAAAAATGTTTAATCGAAAGTTTGAAATTTGTTTTATTTGACCAAGTAGGCTTTGAAAATGCCAATGCCTGAAAATGGGTTAGTACCTTGTGCAGCGAAAAGTCATAGATGTCTGTGTTTATACAGCAAAATCGCGAGATCTCAAGATATAACCAAATCCGAAAACTAAGTCCCGGAGCTATGATTCATAATGGTAATTGCACTGAGTGGAGCGCAATTTGGGCTGAAATCATACGCGTGATTTCAAAATCGAACGAGCGCTCAGCGCGAGTTCGATATGAAATCACAAGTATGATTTCAGACCAAAATTGCACGACACGAGATTCAATTACCACTTTATTACATCCATTTTGAAATCGCCCAAATACAGGACTTGGTCAGTTCAAATGTTTTATTGATGCCGTACTGAGCCGGTCTGAAATTAAATTCATGTCCATTTTTTTGGGGGAAAAAGTAAGAGTTGAGAAACAAAAGTTGCAAAATTTGCCACATGATACTCTTTGTCTTTCATTTTACTGCTATTTGATCGGTTACTTTAAAAATCTGATTGGTTGTTCTGTTTTTAATGTAGCCTCCTCACTGGCTGGAAAAAGATGCGATTTAAAGCAAAAAATGGGGCGATTCCTGAATAAACCGCATCAATTAGAGCCAATCAGATTACAGGGACCACCAGTCATTTCAAAATGGTTGTAATAATTAATATTATTGTGGATGTTATATTTATCACTTGTCTTTAGTTACCAGATTATGGCCCAGTGCTGGCAGGAAAATCCAAACGACAGACCGACATTCCCTTCACTTAAAGACATTATAACTCGTATGTCTAAAAACAAAAATGTAAGTGAAAAATTGCGTTTTTCTATGGCTGAAGTAGTAAATTATTGGGTAGCACTATCATTTAAATGTATATGTTTCGAAAGCCTGTGTATGTTTCTACTTAGATATCTTAGGATTTACACCAAAGAGATACATGTTGCATATGGTAGTCACGATAGGCGATAATTCAAAAGGAAATTAACAGCTCGCATATTTCCCGCTTGTGACCCTCCCCTTATCTAATAAGCCCCGTCAAGGTGCTCTATTTGAATTGTGCGGAATTAATCTTCTTCTCTAAAACGGGTGACTTGTTACATTTATTATTATAAGTATTGTCATTGTTGTTGTTGTTATTATTATTATTTTTATTATTGTTATTATTACTAGTATAGGTAATCACATGACTGCAATTTTGAATAAATAAGCATGGGTGAATTTTTTCAAAGACTAACAAAATTGCACGAGCCCGTAGGGTTCGTGCAATATGTGGTCTCTGAAAAAATTTACAGGTGTTTATTTATTCAAAATTGCACGAGAAAAATTATGTGATTACATATTCATTCATCATATACGTGAAAAAATACAAGATAGCGTATCATAATTATGCATAAGCAAAGCACGCGCATCAAATGCAAAAATAATTTACACTCGATTGCAAAAACGTTGACACCTAATAAGCTTGATTCACGAACGACAAGACCCAACACCTTTATGGGAAATGTTCGCACAGATACATAATCAGTGATTTACTTCTCTCATTATTCATGGAAAAATCTTTTCTCATGATAAAACGTTTTCTTATGGTTATCATCTACATTTGACCCCTAAAACTGCTGAGTCTCATCGTTCATTATAAACGCTTGTTGCGTGTCAACGTTTTTGCAATCGAGTGTATTCAAAGCTTGTGAGTGACTTTGTGAGTTCAGTCAAAACAACCGCGTACGATCAAAACAATAATATACAATGATATTTTCACATCTTTAGGGCGCAAAAACGTTCTAAGTCCCGCTAAACAGTTCAAGTAATTGTTCAGTCTGGTTTGTTACTTCTTTGCACTGTATTAACCTTCTTCTGCATTGAAATACCTGAAAACTGCATTTATCTTAACCGATCGGAACTTAGTAATTTCTCGATGCATCGTATTAGTATTAGTATTATCATCATCATCATCATTATCATCATCATTACCATAATTTTTTATAATTTTACATCCTCTTCCATATGGCAAACTTAGAACCATATTGACACACACTAATGTCAACGTATTTTTCTTTCTTTTTCGTATTCAGGACACCTATATCAACATGAGAGAGTATGATACCAACCTTTATGCGAATGTCGATGACCTACCTATGGAATGAACGAAGACAATTAATTACAACGTATCATAGGGGCAGGGTATTAGTTCGAAATATTCTTAGCAGTCTCTAGAGTATGGTTACAGGTGCTTTGTCAGCCTTGCTTCAGTCTGGTTTTGAAGTTGACTCATCTTTAATGAACGTTCGTTGTGCACTTGTTTTTGTTTGTTTCCTTAGATCTAGTCTCAAAATACCAAATTATTCCTTGATAGGTTTTGGCAGTTTTTTAAACAAGACTTCAAACTCTTAAATAAACTTTTGTCTGCTGGTAAATCTTAAGGAGTTTGTTGACCTCTATTTCTCATCCTTGAATGGCAGTCAGCATATCAAGATAAATCATTCTACAAATTTTTTAAAGACATTTTAGAGCCCGATCAAGTTTTTTATAATTTAGGATGGATTTTAACGTTAATTACAAACATTTTTGAACCTAGAATTATAATTAGGTAAAAGTCTTTTAATGGTATGAATCATAAATTTCATATTTTAGAAATATGCGGTCAGTTTTTTTTCACTGATTCGATACACGATCCTACAAGCATATAGTATCGAGACTATCAACTTTAAATAAATATTATGATGATATTGTTTGTGGTCTGTGATCTGCTCGAGAACAGATGCAACATGGAAACTATTTGCTATCCACTAAAATTAGAACGTTTACCGCATTAACCTGGAACAGAATTTTTTTCAGGAGAAATGTACTTACATTAAGGAACGACCAGGCAAATGATTAATGGTTTTCGGGCGGGTTGAATGGCTTAAACGGAAGAGATAGGCAAAGTACTATTCACCTCCGAGCAGTCAAAGAGGAACAAAGTAACCGTTTCAAAGAAAACCTTTTTAATGAAATGAGGGTGTTGTTCATGATTAAGGGTGTGAAATCAAACTTACCGTAAATTATATTTGTTTGATGTTCTGAAATAATAACTTTCACACTCACACATTACTAATCTTAACTACTCGGCATCACAAGAATAGAAATCGTTATCTCATGGGTTCACCTCCCTTATGGGACTGACTTTTTCAGGATTTAGTTTCACTACTGCTTAAGGTAGTGTTCATTACTGCTAAGATCGCTCTCTTCTTTTTTTTCTATTTTTTGATAATCCGTTTTTTAAACATATTATGTTTAAACATATGTTATTCATTAACACGTCACTTCACGGGTTTATCACAAACCATCAAAATTAACAGCTCCCAGTTGGCTTGTTCGCTAAGTTGGAAGAGCACTGCACCGATAGCGCAGTAAATATGCTAAATAGAACGTGATTCAGTTATAATGTACGGGTATATGGGTGGGTGATAAATGCAGTGTAATGATATTGGCTGAGTTCATTTTGAGGTCCATAAAATCGTAAAAAAAAAGGAACGAGACTAATATCCAGCCATGTTGACCGATTAACAAATAAAGAGGCCTTGACTGTGTTGTGTTCTGTTGCGTTGTAAAGCACTCAGGAAGAGGCTAGAGCACGAAATAAGAGTATGGGGAAACACGATACGTAATCGAATGTTTCTCCCTATCCTTTGAGGGATTCTTTCTTTGTTTTACAATAAATAATCCGTCAAATTCCCTCACTTTTTTTTTTCTGTTTTCAAAACATATAATTTTTGAAGCAAACAAAAGTGTTGTCAGCATATTTTATACTCTCATAGAACACGCTAAAATGATCCAATAAGTTTTTTAGAATGGTTCAAATAATCTGATATGTTGAAAAAAACTAAAACTGTCAAAAATGTCAACGCATACACAATCTGAAATAGTTTGGCAGGTGGAATTCAACACCAGTCGAATTCACAGGAACATGATGAGCTAACCGCGATGGTCCACAGTATGATCATAGTCGCCCTGACATCCTTAATAAGTATAAATTTTAAACGGTAATGCCAGTTTTTCAATTTTTCAATTATGGCACTTGGCGTGTTTGCAAACGTTTGTTACTCATGTGCCAAGTTGGCATTGTTCCCCTTCGTAATTGACATGCACCAAAAAGAGTGGCCTAGAAACCGATAATCAAAAGTTATTCGCTCCTGTGAAAAGATGTTCGCTCGAAATGTTAGCTATAGAACTGGTAATTGGAGGTCTGTAACCCTTGTCTTAAACCGTTGGAATGCCTTTTGTTTATGGAAATCTATTGAATCCTGTTTGTCTTGCTTAGCTTTATTCCGTTTGATGCATCATCCCCTGGATTTTTACCTCCATTAACATAACTCCATTCTGAAACGGACCTTCCATTGCGGATGATAGTGAGGCAGTTTGATTCAGAGGCGTGAAAGCCTTTTAATCATTCTTTATACTCTTCAGTACTAAGTCAGAGTCCGTCCAGTTATTCAGCCCATTGCTCTCAATCTTGAGCTCTGAATTAGACGACTCAACTTCACTGAAATCGGAGATGTATGACTGATCATGTCACATGCAGCATGCATTTGAGATGATTTGTGGCTGTTTATTCCTTACTGCTC